GTTGAGGACAAGTCTTACACGGTAGCATTCAAGAGGATTGAAAGTTCAGGGCACGATCTGACACCCTAGCATCAAAGGTGATTAAAAATTAAGGGTAAGGTCTTTCAGCGAACCATCCAAGATGTTTGTAATTCAAGGACAAAGTCTTAGTGCATATCATCCAAGATGTTCAAAGTTAAGGACAAGCTCTTCGAGCGTAGCGTCCAAGATGATTGAATGTCACGAGCACGATCTTACACCGTAGCACTCAAGATCATTGAATGTTAAGGATAAAGTCGTACTCCATAGCAACCAAAATCATACAAGATGCTTGAAAGTTCAGGACAAGATCTTCTTGGATAGCATCCAGATCTTCCAAGAAGTTGCTATTATTTCTCTTGTTCTCGTTTTCGCTCTTGTTCTTGTTATTGCTGTTGTTATTGCTGTTGTTGCCAGTTATTGCTCGTTTTTTTGATATCTCGTTTTGGTTCTTGTTATTATGGTTGTTCTTGTTGTTGTTGTTGTTGTTGTTGCTGTTACTGTAGTTACTGCTGTTGCTGTTGCTGTTGCTGTTGCTGTTGCTGTTGCTGTTGTTGTTGTTGTTGTTGTTGTCGTTGTTGTTGCTGTTGCTGTTGCTGTTGCTGCTGTTGTTGTTGCTGCTGTTGTTGATGTTGTGGGATTCCTTTTGACCTTGTTCTTGTGGTTGTGATGTTTGCTCTTGTTCTGGTTCTTGTTCGTTAAGGACAAGAACTTACAGCATGTCATCCAACACGTTTGAGGGCTAGGGACAAGACAAACAGAAGTCGGAGCGTAGCATCCAACATGTTTGAAGGTTAAGGACAAGATTTTACTTCGTAGCAACAAAGATTTGCAAGTTAAGGACAAAATCTTACACGGTAGCATCCCAGATGATTGCAAGATCAAGCTGTGATCTGACAGCGTAGCATCAAAGTTGTTCGAAAATCAAGGGCAAGATCTTACGGCGTAGCATCAATGATGATCGAAAGTTAAGGACTTGTTCTTAATTTTGTTTTTGTGGTTGTGTTCTTCTTCTTGTTCTTGATCTTGTTCTGTTTCTTGTTCTTGTTCTTGTTGTGGTTCTTGTCCTTGTTCTTCATCTTGTTCTCCATCTTGTTCTCCTTGTTCTCATTGTTCTCCATGTTCTATTCGTTCTTGTTCTTTGTCTTGTTCTTCTTCTTCTTCTCTTTGTTCTTTTTTTTCTTCTTGTTGTTGTTCTTGTTTAAAGTTGCTTTTGCAAGGTCTGTGTCGCATAGGCCGGGACTGTCTATCGCACCGGGGGGACATTATAGACAAAATCTTTCAACCAAAAACAAAGGAAAATTGCCACTCGTTTAGTCGAATTGCCACTTGCTCAAGCAGCCACTTGCAGCCTCCTGCGGCCACTTGCTCAAGCAGCCACTTGCAGCCACTTGCTCAGGGAGCCACTTGCCACTTGCAGGCCAAAGCAGCCACTTGCAGCCACTTGCTCCCACTTGCTCCCACTTGCTCAAGCAGCCACTTGCAGCTACTTGCAGCCACTTGGCAGCCACTTGCAGCCACTTGGCAGCCACTTGCAGCCACTTGGCAGCCACTTGCAGCCACTTGGCAGCCACTTGCAGCCACTTGGCAGCCACTTGCAGCCACCCGCAGACACTTGCCCCAAGTGGCTGCAGCAAGTGGCTGCCAAGTGGCTGCCAAGTGGCTGCAAGTGGGTGCTTTTTTTGAAAATCAAATTGCGCCTCCTGCGCCCACACAAAACTTCTCTCGCACTTGCACACCGACTTGATGCTACGCTGTTAGCACCTCTGAAACGTTAGGTGTGCCCACAGGATCGTAGGGTGTGCGGCCGGCTGTTGAATATGATGAAAAGCTTCATGTTCAGATTTAATGCCGGCTGTAAGTTGCGGACCTTGCTAGGAAACTGAAGAAAAATTTGCCGCTGAATAAAGCATGCCCTGGAAATAATGTTAAACAAGGTCAAAATACATTGCAAAACAACAGTATGAAATCACAAAATGATGCCTCCGCCTCATGAGGCCACGCATTTTTTAGTTGCAAATTTGCTATCGATGTTGCAAAGCACTGCAAATAGCACTGGAAAAGAGAGACGTGCATTTTCGAAGGGGTCGCACCTGACACCGTAGCCTTGTTTATGGTGTTTATGGCATTGGTTTGCCACATTACTGCCTTTTCTTATTGGCTACTATTAACTATTATTGTTGGCAATCAGCGTATTGTACTAGTATTACTATCGTATCATTATGCCTAACAATAACAATAACTGTGATTAGGCCTTGTTTTTATCGTATCATTATATTGTTATCGTATCTTCCATTCCCCAGTCAATCTGAGGCCCAAACACACTTGGCCTTCCTCACCTCCTCATCGTCGGAGTCGTCCATCTCCACCACGGCCTGGTAGGAACATGCCACTGATATAGCTAGGTCGATCTGTATTATCATGAACTATATACAATTGTATTGAATATATACTATATATCATATACATTATATATATATTATTACTTGCCAAATACTACATATGTTATATGAAAATAACAAAACAAAATATAGTATATTATAATAAAATCATATCATTGAACAGAATAGAACTAGACGACGGATGGCCCGAGAGCGTAGAGGAGCAGGGTCTTCTCTTGTTAGTATGGAGATGCAATTTTAGAAACGGTATATGAAAGCTGTGTTATAGGCAGTCGAGAAGAGGAGTATCAAGACAAAATAGTGAGAAGTGCAAGACAATAGTTTGCATCGCAAACACTTTTACACACAGACGCTTTTACACTGACGCTTTGACACACAAAGCTTTTACCCACAGAAGCTTTTACACACAGAAGCTTTTACATACAGAAGCTTTTGCACACAGAAGCTTTTACATACAAACACTTTTACACACAGACGCTTTTACACACAAACGCTTTGACACACAGACGCTTTTACACACAGACGCTTTTACACACAGACCCTTTTACACACAGACGCCTTTACACACAGACACTTTTACACACAGACGCTTTTTACACACAGACACTTTTTACACACAGACGCTTTGACACACAAACACATTTACACACAGACGCTTTTACACACAGACGCTTTTTACACACAGACGCTCTGACACACAAACACATTTACACACAGAGGCTTTTACACACAAACGCTTTTACACAAACACTTTTACACACAAACACTTTTACACACAGACGCTTTTACACACAGACGCTTTTACACACAGAGACTTTTACACACAGAGACGCTTTTACACACAGAAGCTTTTACACACAGACGCTTTTACACACAGACGCTTTTACAATTTTACCTCAGTTTTTGCCGATCGACCATCATTTCGTGCGAAAGGGTTCCTCCGGGGCAAGTAAAATCGCAATTTTACCTCACTTTTTGCCGATCGACCATCATTTCGTGCGAACGGGTTGCTCCGGGCCAAGTCAAATCGCAATTTTACCTCAGTTTTGGCCGATCGACCTTCATTTCGTGCGAAAGGGTTGCTCCGGGGCAAGTCAAATCGCAATTTTACCTCAGTTTTTGCCGATCGACCCTCATTTCGTGCGAAAGAGTTGCTCCGGGGCAAGTAAAATCGCAATTTTACCTCAGTTTTTGCCGATCGACCCTCATTTCGTGCGAAATGGTTGCTCCGGGGCAAGTCAAACCTTTTTACTTCAGTTTTGGCCGATCGACCTTCATTTCGTGCGAAAGGGTTGCTCCGGGGCAAGTCAAATCGCAATTTTACCTCAGTTTTTGCCGATCGACCTTCATTTCGTGCGAAAGGGTTGCTCCGGCACAAGTCAAATCGCAATTTTACTTCAGTTTTTGCCGATCGACCCTCATTTCGTGCGAAAGGGTTGCTCCGGGCCAAGTCAAATCGCAATTTTACTTCAGTTTTTGCCGATCGACCCTCATTTCGTGCGAAAGGGTTGCTCCAGCACAAGTCAAATCGCAATTTTACCTCAGTTTTTGCCGATCGACCCTCATTTCGTGCGAAAGGGTTGACGTTTCGTGACTCGCCACCGGCACCACCCTCGGCCTTAAGAGAGAAAGATAAAAAGAAGGCGTGAGAGAGAAGGTGAGCAGGTGTGAAGATAAGAAGATGTGAAGATGAGCAGATTTGAAGATGAGCAGATGTGAAGATGAGCAGATGTGAAGATGAGCAGATGTGAAGATGAGAAGATGTGAAGATGGGAAGGTGTGAAGATGAGCAGATGTGAAGATGAGCAGATGTGAAGATGAGCAGATGTGAAGATGAGCAGATGTGAAGATGAGAAGATGTGAAGATCGGAAGGTTTGAAGATGAGCAGATGTGAAGATGGGAAGGTGTGAAGATGAGCAGATGTGAAGATGAGCAGATGTGAAGATGAGCAGATGTGAAGATGAGCAGATGTGAAGATGAGAAGATGTGAAGATGGGAGGTGTGAAGATGAGCAGATGTGAAGACGGGAAGGTGTGAAGATGAGCAGATGTGAAGATGAGCAGATGTGAAGATGAGAAGATGTGAAGATGGGAAGGTGTGAAGATGAGCAGATGTGAAGATGAGCAGATGTGAAGATGAGAGGATGTGAAGATGAGAGGATGTGAAGATGAGCAGATGTGAAGATGAGAGGATGTGAAGATGAGAGGATGTAAAGATGAGATGTGAAGATGAGAGGATGTGAAGATGAGATGTGAAGATGAGAGAAGATGAGAGGATGTGAAGATGAGATGTGAAGATGAGAGGATGTGAAAATGAGATGTGAGGATGAGAAGATGTTTTACAGACCCCCACTATTGGAAGAACCCTGCGCTCAGACGCTCTCGGGAATTATATTATTATTGATAGAAAAAAGAATAATATGATATGATACAATATAATAAAACATAATATAACATAGTACAAAATGATATATAATGAATAATGTTATGTTATAGTATATCCACACACATACATGTACACGTTGTATAGCTAACAGGTCATCTGGAAGAATAAGGCAATACAGGTGTTTCACTGTAGTATGATTCTCCTGCGTCATTCCTGGCTGCACAGGCTGCGCACTGCTTTGCCATCAGCGCTGCTAGGTGTCACGAGTCTCACTCCGCGCTTCCATGGGGAGCAAGTTACCTTGGAATCGGGGCTTGGAGAACAATTGAAGGTGGAAGAAATCTTGCACCAGTAAGTATTGGCAACTATTGGTAACTATCAACTACTAATTCGAGCCACCCCAAAAAATGGAACAGTGCACTCATACTAAAATAGATGGCAAAACACGTTTCTATCTTTTGGTGGATGTTACAGTCTAACCTTCAATACTTGGGGTTACAACGGTATAACCACCACTATTGGGTTAAGGGATCACTTAGAGCACCGGAAAGTGGATCACTTAGAGCACCGGATCACTTAGAGCACCATGGGATCACTTAGAGCACCAAAAAAGTGGATCACTTAGAGCACCAGAGAATGAGACCTTTAGGGTAACACTTGGGGACACTTGGGGTGGGTTTAGGGGACACTTGGGGACACTTGGGGGGGACATGGGGTGGGTTTAGGGAGAATGACCTTTAGGGTAACACTTGGGCACACTTGGGGGGGACACTTGGGCGGGACATGGTTGAATATTTTTTGGGGTGTCTGATATTAGGGAGAAGGGTTTAATGTTGTTTTGAAGCTACCATGACTGGGGATGGTTTAATACCACCCATTTATATATATATATATATATGTGATATGTGTGCTCATTTATGGTGATTTTGGGGATGGTAATTATAAATGACTTTGGGGGGGACATGGGGTGGGTTTAGGGGACACTTGGGGACACTTGGGGGGGGACATGGGGTGGGTTTAGGGGCTCATTCATTTTTCCCCAACAGCAAAACTTTACTATGGGGTCTTTAGCCCAGATTACTTCCGGTGCGATCCGGTGCAGCTTCAACACCAGGTTCCGGACAAGGTTCCGGATGGTTCTGGTGCAGATACCTCGTGAGGTTCCGGAGGGTTCCGGTGCAGATACCTCGTGAGGTTCCGGAGGAATCCGGTGAAGATACCTGCTGAGGCTCCGGAGGGTTCTGTACCGGAAGGTTCCAGTGCAGATACCTTGTGAAGTTCCAAAGCGTTCCGGTGCAGATATATACCTTGTGAGGTTCCAGAAGTTTCCGGTGCAGGTACTCGGTGAGGTTCCGGAGGGTTCCGGTGCAGATACCTTGTGAGGTTCCGGAGGGTTCTGGTGCAGATGCTTTGCAAAGGTTTCCGATGTTTTTAATGGCATAAGCACTGAATTTTTTATGGCATATGATTTTTTTGACAAAAACGCAGAAGCTTTCAAGCTGTTGGGGATAGCACCTGAGTTTAGTCAAAAATTATTCTGCTTGCAACAAAAAAGCGAGCCATTGAGACCCTGCAAGAGGTGGATCAAACTGTCGAAACAAATCCACGATAAGTTGCATTATATAGATTATATTGAATGATATTACGTGAATGATCTTGAATGATATCATAGGTATACAATATCTATATATATATATATGTGATATCATATATCATATTTATAATATATGATATCATATTATATCATATCTAAATCTATATATATATATATTAAACTTCGCAGTTCCTGAAGTCAAGGCATCATTCTCCCCTCGACAAATTGCCAGGTCACTGAGATCAGGAGTCGGCATCGGCTTCTCTTCAGCTCCAACCTTGCTATGGCATGCTGCCGCGTCATCAACGTGCGCGGGACAACCCAAAAATGGAGCCAATGGAGCGACCAAAAAGAGAAAATAACAAGTGACTCGGTACATTATAAGCTGGATTGATAGATTGATGATCCAGATTTGGATCTTTGCAGTTTGGGGACATTCACCTTAATATTCCATTTGAGATGACATCATGTTGGTTAAAAAAATGCTGTCAAAGCTGGCCTCCTGCTCGAACTTGGTCAGCTCCGACCAATCCTCCTAAGCCAAGTTGCCACGTTGATGGTGACCCCAGGAGCAAATCCACATGATGTTTGATGAGTTTTGATGCCAATGATTGCCTACAAGATACCCGGCCCTACCCTGGCCCATCATGGCCCCATCTCCTCATCTTGCATTCGAATCTGCGTCTCTATTCCCGGCTTGTCGCCTCGCGAGCTGGAAGCTGGTAAAAACCTGCCGGAATCTCATGTTTGTGTATGTGTTTGTTGTGGAAAAATTGTGAAAAATAATGTGACGAATCAAATGGTCCATTTTAAGGCAATCCCTGGAAATACACCAGTGTTCACGCAAACAAATCAAAACAAATCAACTTTCATCCAGGGATCCATCAGCCCGGTCCCTGCTGAGACGCCGACCTTTCAACAAGCGCACCTTGATATCCCCCACCACCTCCGGTGGAGGTCCAAAGGAGGGACCATACCAAGGTCCCTCACCAGCCTACGGCACGGTCCCGGAGTGTGTTGTGTTCGAAGCTTTGCTTTGGAACCACCAGGTCACCAGATTTTCACGAGAGTTCGTCCAAAACACGTAGTCATGTCGTCAAACAGAAAATGTTGTTTAACAGATTTTAGCAGGTTTAAACCATGCTAAAGCTTCAGTTTCCCCCTTTAACCAAAGAACAAAATGGTGGTTGCCATGGGCTTCGGCCCAAAGCGCCTTCAGCAGCACCAGGGTGCCATGCCACAGAGACTCCTCGCCGGCCACGGGATCCAACCAGCCGTGCACACGCTCTTCACCCACAGGTTCCTTGGTGCAGCAATCAAAGCCAACTACCAAGCTGTGTTCGCAACATGATTTCTAAACACGTTTAATGCGTTTAGTATGGATAATCTGGAAAAGTGCACTAGTGTTCATGTTGCATGATGGAACGGATTTCTGCTTGCTCTGACAGTTCGAAGTCAAGATCTCAAACTTACCTTCCAATGCCGCAGCCCCAGGAACGACCAGCCAACCACCAAAATTTACTGCTGCCAAGGGCACAGTGTAGGAAAGACGGGCAGTCACCGGGTCCTTCCCGATCGTCACTTGGCCCTTCTCAGACTTCCAGCAGCCATGCAAGCCTTCTCCTGGAGGATGTGGATGCTTCAGAACATACAAAAGCCACCCAAAAGAATGCCCACTGAATGATGTTTAATAGTTTTATGATTAAACGGGGAATATGGGGATTAACCCGTGGATTTGGAGCATATACCATATACCGTATTACCCCAATTTTGCACTAACCAGTACGGCTGGGTCCAACCGTTCGAACCCTTTTCCCCCCACCAGAATGTTAAGCACTCCTACGAGTAAATACACATCGACTATGAAATGTTGGGGAAATGTTGGATGATGAGGATCCAAATGGTTTCTGACATCACCGTATCAACTGCCACCAAAGGTGCCTGGGTTGTCAACAGCCAACGTCTTGGGCAACTGTTGCCTCGAAAGCTGAATCGTTGGCGAAAATTTGACTCAGCAACATCCGGCAGGCTGGTGCCACCAAGGGGCACGGCACGGAGCTCCTTGTCACCAGCGCTATTGGGCATGACACGCTTCGTCATGGCTGGCAAAGTCTACAATGGATGGACAATCGGAACCACTATCCATGGCTCGCATGTTTCTACTTGTTTTGGAATATAGAAAGCCAAGTTCCCTGGCATGCAACTCTACCAGCACTCCATCAGGAACTCCAATTGTTTCACAAAAAACGTGGCATTGCTTCGCTTATCGCGTCTATGGATCAGCTCCGGAGCCAAGACAAGCAGTTGAGCCATGGACAATCCCCATTTCATTATTTAAAAATGGACCCCAATGACCATTTTCATAAGTAGGGGAAAAGTCGTGACAAAGATTAACACCTGGATTTCGGGTTTTTTCCCATCTTCTCACAGTGTGGTTATATCTCCTCTGACGATATCCCCATGATTCCCATGATGTTATCCGATAAGCCCTGGTAGCAATTCTCCCAGCATCGTGCAACGTGGCGAAGTTCGCTGCTTGCTTGGCCTGCCGCGGTCTCGGCAAGGTTGGAGCGGAGCGTACCTGGACTGGATCGGCAAGATCTCAACAAAGTGGATGAGCAAACCATAGCTGCAACAGTGTCTGCAATTTTGGACATATCACTTTATATTAAGAAAAAACAGTTTCAATCATCTCTTCGATCATAATTTGTTTGAAGGGGCTATACAATGGTCAATGATAAATCATTAGTTCCAGTCAGAATTCAAAAAAATAAAATCCAATCGTTCGACCCTCGCCTTGTTCAAAGGCAACGGTTGGATAGTGGTGGCTCTCTGGAGCGCTGGCACACCCTCACCTGCGTGTCCACACTGCCCCAATTCGATGTTGGGATGACTCAAGCAACTTTCTCTGAAGTTTGAATGCCTCTGAAGATACTTGTTTGAGGAAATTAGAGTTAGAGTCACCAACAGCAATGAATTTGGCAGTGTGATTACAGTTGTTATATATATATATATATCCATCCCATCAGGTTCCATCGTGTTCCATTCCCGCCTAACGCAGTCTCTTTGGACTCTTGTCTCGCAGTGGATCTGGTGCGCAGCAGTTGTTCCACCTCTTGGAAGGCCTCTGATGATCTGATGGGCACTGATTGACTTCTGTGACTTACAGTCTATCTATGTCTATATAATTTTTTATATGTGTACATTGCAAAAAAAATACCTAATGTATATATATATAATATGTCATACTTGTACAACATGGACCAAGACAAAGACATAAACATAGACATAGGTGTGTGTGTGTCTGTATATGATTACTCTGCTTGTTACTTAAATATCGAGGGGAATTAACATCCACGTCCACTAGATCAATTTGGTACCCTGGAGCAGTGGGGGTGATTGGATCAAACCGTGGTTTCATGTTGTTGCATGTGTGATGTTTTGTTTTTGTTTCCATATATGTCCTTTTGTCTGTATTTTTATTAGTTTGGTTTGCTGTTTCTTGTTTGTTCCGTGTGTTTTTGTCCGCTTAACTAATGACCACTTTCATTATAAATTTGGTGCGTTTTGGTTTCTCATTTTTGTTACATCCTGCTGCTTACAAATTCACAATTTTCCTGTGTGTTTAATTTCTTAGCCAAAAAAAGCTGGCTACAGCAGACGTAGTAGACAAAGAATCGTACCCTAGGCCATCACAAATTATCACAGGACAAACGCGTGCACAAATAAACAGTGTATATATATATATATATACATTATATATGTATATTATATAATACATATAGTTATATACATGTGTATATATATATGCAAAATTGTATATATATATATATTATATATATATACATATGGTTTATTAATATATTACATTACATTACATGACATTGCATTACATTATTTTTATATATTATATTGTATGATACTAAATGATTTTATATTATAGATTATATGATATTATACTATATTAAATCAAAATATTATATTATATTATATTATATTGTATTATTTTAAATTAGATTATATTATGTTAAATCATAAATTATATTATGTTATATCATATTAAATTATAAAACATTTATCATACTAGTTTAAATTATATGATATGAAATTATATTATATCATATGATATTATCTTATATTATATCATATTAAAATATATATATATATATAGTAAATTGCATTTACTTATTATAGTTATTAGATTATATTAAATGAAATTAAATCATATTATACCATATTATATAATATTATTTTATAATATACATATATATATATATCATATATATATGTATACGTATATATACGGTCTCGTGTTCCGTGTTCCTACCCCCGGCAAAGGTATGGGTCCCCCAGGTAGCACCCCCTTCCCTCCTATTTGCAAGCTATTGGCAGCATTTGTGAGGTCCAGCCTCGTACTGTATTTGCTAGGTCTTTGCAGCACTTCTGACTACCAAACTCGCATTTACTGGGTACATGCTACTTTTTAGACGACCTACATAGCACACATACTCCCTCAAAGCACCTACGTGCTACCTATAGTCATAAGTACATGTGCTATGTATCTACTTCCTATTTACTACCTGTGTACTCTCAGAACACTACATGTGATTAACATAAACCGTACCTACCATACATTCCAATGATACCACACATACCATACATACCATACGAACTTTGACCATTCATACCATAACTATCATACCTATCATACATACCACACATACCATACATGTGATTCGAAACAGAATTACCACACCTACCATACATACAATACCAAACATACATGCCATACATACCATACCTGCCATACATACCAAACATACCATACATTCCAAACATACCATACATACCATACCAACCATACATGCCATACCGGACCGACCATACACACCATGCATACCGTCATATCAAACATACCATACCCAACATACTTACATACCACGCCTACCATCCATGCAATACCAACCATACATGCCATACATGCCATACATACCATACCTGCCATACATACCAAACATAACATACATTCCAAACATACCATGCATACCATACCAACCGTTACCAAACATACATGCCAAACATCAAACATGATATAGTTACATACCATACTCACCATACCCACCATGCCATATATATTGTCATACATACAGTACACCCCCCTCCCGCACCAGGGCGGAGAGCACACCCCCACCACACCACAGGGGGGGAGGGGGACAGTACTATGGCTGACCCATGACCATGGCGGGGGGCGGAGGGGGGTTGGAACGCTGGACTGTATATATGTATGTGTATAAATATATATATATATATGTGTGTTCATACTTGCAAATGCTCCAGCAGCTGCCAACGGGCTCTCAATGTCGACAAAGCCATAGGCGACTACTCTTACACAAGAGAGACAGGTGAGAAGACAAACAACTGCATCCACAGGCTCATACATTCCACATAACTGGCATTAAGTCTTCAAGGTTTTGAGGTTCTTTGCGATTTTTTGACTCATGAACAATAGTAAATTTAATGGCTCGAGATCTTTGGAGATTAAATTATTTGAATATGTTTTTGAGATGTGTTGGATTCTAGCAACTCTTCTTTGCAATAACCTGTGCAAATGTCCCAGCATTCACTTGCGCTGGCATGAACTGGCATTCTTTCCTTTTCCATCCACCTGCCTCTGTGCTGATCGATCTACTTAATTCAAAACGAAATCGATCAGAATTCATTTGATCATGTCAACCCCGCTTTTTTGCATATGTCCAGTCAAATTGTGTCCAAAAGGTTTTCACGAGTTCTTCGGTTTGAAAGCACAAACCCCTGCAGTTTTTTTCATTGTTTCCTTTTTTCCCATTGCTGATTCTGGTCCACGTTTTTACATGTTTTTGCATTGCAAATCTCAAAATAGTGTTTTCTTATACCATGAAATTCCTCCTTTCCAAACCCTTTCCGATCCACAGTAACAAATCGATCTAGTGACACATGGGTGGATAGAATATATGATAATCATTGGTAATCATGGTTGTTGCTCAAATAGCCTTAAATCCCTAGTAGGATGAAGATCCAAGTGCCACACAACTAGAAAACAAGAGCCACCCAACATGCTTCCTAAAAGGGAAGTTATAGATGGCTAGATTTCTCGAAACCGATGAGCAGTGTTCAAAACCTTTTTGTCGCACCTTTTTGTCCGCCGTAGCCGTGAGACAGCGTGTTGCGGTCTAACGGTTGCACTGAATCGGCACTGAGCCGCTACCATCAAGACCAGAAACGGTGAAGGCCGTGAAGATTCACGGCAGCATCTTTGACTGGATTCATTGCAGCGGCAGGGAGCGAAAACAGCATCGACATCTTGGTGATTTGTCTGTTGGCAAACTGTTCCTGGAGCCATGTGTGAACCTGAGCATCCATGTCGCCATTGAACCGCATGAGAATGCCCATGGCCCAACACTGGAAGCGACCGTTGGATGGTCGGTTATGTTCTGCCTTATACCCTGGGAGGATTAAACGTATCAACTGCAACATGTATGCTGCCCATGATCGGCAGGCTTGCTGCATATCGAATTCCTGGATCTTCGTATACGTCTGCCAGGTGTTATGAGACGATGTAGACTGGATTCCCCATTCACCAGTCTGTAGCCCAAGATATCCACCGAAGAGGGGCCTTTGGGTCATGAACCTGCTGCAACCACGAAATGAGGGTATGAAAACCATTGAAACGTAGCTTCGGCGGCGCGCGGTCGGTGGCAGCTAACGCAACTTGTTGCTAATTGACCTCCGGAATGTGGTCAAAAGGTCTGCTGGGCGCCTCAATTGGTTTTACTTCCTCTCCAACTGCGAGTCTAGCTACTCGCACAATGTGCTGATGCACATGGTGGATCGCATTCTGCATGGTTCTCAGACTTTCACTGGCTTCTTTTTGTGCTTGCAAAACTGAAGCCGGAAGAGACCCAAGTGCATACTCCGCAAGTCTGTCTGCGGCATCATTGGCAGAACATGCCCATTGGATCCAAGCTTCTTCATCATGGTAGGCTTGATGGGACTTAATGTGATGAAAACGGCATCTATCCTCTGGCGGCATGCAGGCTTGAACCACAATCCACAAATCATGGTCTGTCATGGCTGAATGGACCTGCAGAAGACCTTGC